GGACAGGGGTGTTGGGAGTCCGCATAGTCCACGTCATCACTGGTCATGCGGTGCTGGGAGTCGGGACAGTCCACCCGGTCTGAGGGCGTGTGTGCTGTTTGTGGTGGCGGGTTAGTGGACCCCCTCGACCCCCGGTGGGAATAAGTCATTGGTTTCGGTTCCGACGCCCACCAACTTCTTGGCCATTGAATTCAAAGACCTCGAGACACAGTCGGCGTCGACGATGACATTGACTTACAATTGTTGTCAAAGACTGATGGATCGAAAGAGATCTCCGTTCGGACCATCAAATCGGATGCTATAGTTAAATGCAATTCCCTGAATACCAATAACACATATAATATAAATTAATTGTTTTTATTTACTTATATTTTACAATAATTTTTAAAAAATTAACTATTTATTTATATTTATACAAAATATTTACAAATATCTACTATATATAAATCTAATTTTCTATCAGGGAAAGTTTTGCTTGTCTTTTGTGACGATAAATTTATCGATCACTTTATCCTAAAAAACAAATAAAAAATAATTAATTAAAGATAGCAATCAATAGTAATGATTTTATTTTTAAATGTAAAAGACATCTCATGACAAGTTTCTTTTACACACAAAACAAAACCTGTCAGTAAGCACACATCGGCATCAGAGCCCGTATTTTGCGCCGGGTTAGCCCGTAAACATAGGACTTATCGGGTCTGTCTGTAGTTCCCTATAATTTCAATCAAAAACACAAATCAATTAATTTTCTAACCAAACAATCGTTTCGCTAATAATACGGACCCCAACGCCGGTAATCACATGAATGGGTGCCTTCGGGTTATTGTAGACATCGGTGCCTTTGAATGGCTTTCCATCGTTGATGGGATACGATCTCTCGTATATGTGTTTGTGTGCATAGAATTGTATATCCACTCCATGTTTATAGAAGAGGTCTTCTAAACCATAATGGGTTTTAAGATGTAAATCATCACCACTTCTGCCCCGACGAAGCTATACATGAGTTTTGATTTAATATATAGTTATATCAATAAACAATTACAGTAATGGACTTACAATGGACTCGTGTTCAAAGCAATCCTCGTCATTATCCTTAACGCAATACATGGGTCTGTGGGCCAGTGTTATAATCCAGGGTCTCTTTTGCCTGTTCTCGGGCTTATTGGCCTCTTTTAAGTCCTTTTCCAGCCATTCGTACTGCCATTTGAGGTGATGTTCACTGAAATACTCGTCAAAGAAGTACAACTCAGAGCTCTTCTTCTATATCACTCGCCTTGGGTTCAGATACGACATCATCACCAGTGCGTAAACAACCGAGACCTTCAGTTGGTAACTTTTGGCTAACTATATTACTCACTTTAAGGACTAATAAATGTTTTTAAAATTGATGATTATTGGCCAATAGTAATGGGTAACAATGTTATAATAACTATACCTTTTATCTTCATGATTTCCCGGACACACCTGATAGGGAAGGCTTGCGGCGATTGATTGAATCTCATTCATAAAATCGTCGCCAACTTTGCCGCCATCCTATTCGCACACCGATTAGTAAATTATTATTAATTTTTGTAAATTAAATTCATATAAAATAAAACTCAATACAAACACTTACTTTGTTTAAATTGTATGCGATATCACCTATAATTTGAAGTGAAATACAAATAACATAAATTTGTGTTTCAAAACGAGATCTAATCGATAGTACAAACCGATGTGAAAGATGGTGTCGTAGAGGCCTTTCTTCACATCCTTCTTGAGCTGAGGCGTTGACACTCCGTTCTCGAGACCCAAATCACCAAAAATGGCAACTCTTAGCGGAGTGTCGGCCTCAACGCTCAGGGCTTTAAATGTGAACACATCCGACCAGTTATCGTCCGTTTGGCACTTGTATTCTGTGTAACAATTAGATACCCAATTAGCCAACTATTAATTAAATATGGTAATAAAACGGCTCACCATATGTAACGCCGGCACGAAGACCAGTAAGAGTAGCCCTGATCGTCCGTTTGGCACTTGTATTCTGTGTAACAATTAGATACCCAATTAGCCAACTATTAATTAAATATGGTAATAAAACGGCTCACCATATGTAACGCCGGCACGAAGACCAGTAAGAGATCGGGACACGTGCATTCGGAGCATAAAGTAGAGTGGTAGCAGTAAAAGCAGGAATTTTACACACTAGTGACGCAAGTGTAGTTTCCGGCATGGCGGGTTACCCAACATAGAGTGAAATCTCTACAGGGGCCTTTTAAACGTGGTGAAAGTGACGATCACTTCGCTTGGATTCGCTGTTTGTAATAATAAAATGTTGAAAAATATTTTAAAATGGCATCATTTGTATCATGTTGCATAAATATTAAACATACCGCCGAGAGACAGGTGGATCTGTTCGGGATTGGCTTCTTTGCCTAATACTAGGCATACATTTACGGCAATAATTATGTTTAGCAACAAATTCATTGTCGAAAGCTTTTGTATTTTTTTTTGTTAAATCTTTCGCAACGAGTTTATAATTTTATTGTCACAAACACTCAGATTATATACGATTTTTTTTTCTCCGGACGATAATTCTTGAGATCCTCTTATTGTTTGCCACATTTAATAGCAATCTTATTGTTATCTAATCCCTAATTATTATCACTTATTAGATACTGACTTATATTTAATATTATCAGTTGTTTGTTAAAAATAAATTAACAGAATATTCTCTACTTTCAATTAATCAAAAGACATTTTATAAAATAACAATTTATTTAATTTAAAAAATTTTAATCAAAACATTATTTTATTTTTATACAATTATAATAATTTATATTATAAACATATTAATTAAATTAAAATAATATATTTACTTTTTAATTTGATTTTAATCTTTATATATTTTGACAGAATGTTAGAATTATAAAATTAAAATATTTTTAAAAATAATATAAAAACGTGTCACAACAAGTTATTTAACTAATCTGTATCTAAATCCAATACATTTTACCATAAATCATTTTTATGTTTTACGAAATAATTTTATCACGTTTAATAAACAAAAATTTTGTAATAAATATACAGGTTATCTCCAATTTAAGAGACACCGATTTAAGGGGAATTCGATTTAAGGGAGGGATTTTTGCTGCACCGAACGCTCCTATGGGTGATTAACATTACACAATCCGATATAAAGGGAATTTGATTTAAGCGAAATTTGATATAAGGGACACACTTTACTGCACGCATATAACTTTTTGAACCCAATATAAGCGAAATGCTATTTCAAAACAGTAAATGAAATATAATCTATGATATTTTTGTCAAAATATTTGTAAAGTACACAAATAATACATACAAATATGTTGATTTTTATATGAAAAAACATTTAGTTAACAAAATTACTGACAAAAGGTATCGAAAAAGGTTTTAATTAGAGACTAAAAATTTTAAGTATAATGTGATTAAAATAGTCGACGAAAAGTGTCCAAATAAAGAGATATTAAAACAATTTAGTGCTGAATATCTCAATATATCAAGCATTTACAAGTTTAAAACATAAATTTAAGCTTATATTTGTTGTTTTATAGACCTTTATATAAGGCTCGATATAAGGGGAATTCGATTTAAGGGACATATTTTCAATTTCACCAATCATTCGCTTAAATTGGAGATGACCTGTATTTGTCATGTAATAAATAGTGTTTCGATTGATAGGTTAGGGTTAATATTTTTAGATGATTGTGCAATTTCAACCACTTTTTCGTTACACATGCACTAATATATTAATACATATTTGCAAATATAATTTTATTATCAGAGACCACCTTAAAATGTTTTAACTATCAGATGATTATATTTTGTCGTACAGTATAAATTATAATTATAATTATTACAACTATTTATTTACTTTTAACTATGTATATATTTTTTTATTTGTATATGATTGGAATAATTTTGATTTGGATTAATTTTAATAATTTTGTTTTATGTGGATATTTACGAATTAATATCATTTATTTATATTTTTAATAACTGGTGTTAAGTGTATATTTAGTATAAATCTTATGAAAATGTGACTTTCATGTGACAGGTGTGTGGTTGGAGGGAGTGTTCAGTTATGGCCCACAAATTCACTGATAATTGTCATGAATTTCTTATAACAAATCAATAATTCACTGATTATTTCCCGATAATCACATGAAATATATGATATGCGCTTAATTGTGCTTAATCTCAATTTAATGCAATTTAATTCAATTCATTGAGATTAGGGATAATCAACGGATAAATTTTATTTGTCTAATCAGACGTATTGATTACGTCTATTATTAACTAATAACTGCAAAGTCAGTCATATATTGTTTGATAAGGAGGTATAAATTGTCGTCAATTGTTGTCAATCCCGTTCAGACCGGTTTTACATCAAACATTTTTATCCGACAAATTAACTATAAAATCAATTTTATCCAAACTATGTATATATTTATTATTGTCAATGATTTTAATCGCTTTATAATAATTTTTAGTTGATATGAATGTGAAATAAGTTTTAGTGCACTTTCAAAGGGTTCGTCAAATCGTTCGCAAAAATACTTGAACTGAATTCATACTAATATTTTGTTTTATTTTTTATTAATTTTTTTCAAACAAATATTTATTGATTTTTTGTTAGCTATAAAAACTCAAATTAAATTGCGATTGGATTTTGGATAGACTGACATTTTGTTTAGCATTATATAAGAAAAATCAAATAAGTTTTGAATATGTTTTTCAATAGATTTTGAGTTTAGATTATAATCTCATATGAAATCAATTACAGTAACCAAAGATCTCCTTATTATTAATCTAATTAAAAATCGGGAAATATTTTTTAATTGATCATTTGGTGTGAAATGTTTTGGCGTTTACTTTTGGGTCACTTTTTAGTGTAATGCAATGTTTCCCAATTGAAACATTTTACAATCATGTTAATTTTTTGTTAATTAAAAACAATCTTATTTATCAGCATTCATAGAATATAATATCCTTTAGCATTCATCTAATTACATTGTATTTTCAAATATTGTTATCTATAATTGCTATTTACACCTAATATTAATTGCATTTAATCTAAAATATTGTTTACATTCCGTGTTGTCTGAAAATTCAATAGAAATTTACATTTAATTATAGTCCTGTTGTTGTGATTAATAAGCATTACTTAAATCCCGTTTATATTACTTAATAAATATTTTGCAAAACATGATTAGTATTATTTAAAACTACTGATTAGTTTCAAATTGTTTTGCTATCAGATCTTAATTATTTTCAAATACATTCTCCAAAAACTGTAACACAAATATAGTAATATGTAGTTTCGGTCTAAAATTGTGACCTTAATGTAAAAACCAAAATAATTTCAAACAATCTAATTAATTAACTCGACATAAGTCGACAAAACAAGTGCTAAATTAGGCGCTTATTTATTGATGTTATTTGCAAAATGTCACACAAATATATTTATAATTTTAGGTCTCGTAAATAAAAAGAAATTTAATTGTGTTTTGAGACAACAGTACTGTATTTTATGAACAATTTGTCCAAATATAATGTCAATAATTAATTTTTAAAACCCCACTCAATATTCTTCTCTTCTCAGACATAATAATTTAATTATTGATTAATTGATTAAATTATTTTCCATTTTTTGCCTGTTGTCTGCATTGAGTACATAATTTGAGTTTTGTTTTCAAACTACATGTAAAAATTCATTTATTTTAAAAATATGTCCAAAAATTTAAGAGGAAAATCTTAATTTTGTTATTAATAATTGAATGTACGGTAAGTAAAGGATTAAAGCTTTTAAAAGCACATAAATTAGTAATTAATACACATTAAATAATTTGATAAGAGTGGGCATGTTTTGTAAACATTTCAAATATACTGTTCAGTACATTGTAAAGTGCTTTTAAATTTGTTCGTATCAATAAAATTGCATTAAAAAATTACAAATACTGTTTTGTATACCTTAAATATTTCAAGTTTAATTAAAACTATAGTCAAAAACTTCTTATCAATTAAATTGAAACGTTTTTTTGCAGAAACTGTGACTTTTTGAGAATAAATTATTTTTAGATTTAATTCATTGATTAATACCTGTATTGGATTAACAAATTGTTAATAAGTAATGTATATTTTTACATATCACTATTCGTGAGCACTTTATATCATTGGCATAAAGTCCTCAATTAAATCAATGGTAAAATTATTGTACACTTTGTATAAAAAGCATAAAACATATGAATGTTTAAATATATTAAAATAATGTTTGATTTTAATCTATGAAATAAAATGCATGTATATTTGTTCACCCAATATTATA